GGGGACAGTGGAAGGGGTGGGGGGGGCTCACCTGTGCATGTGGGGCAGCAGCCCCCAGCTGGGGCGGGCAGGGGGTGGGAGCAGGGCACGGAGCAGCTGAGGGACTCACACAGCACTCGCCCCCCCTGCAAAGTCACAGGGTGGCTCGGCTGATGTGACAAGGACAGGGGGACAGGGAGGGTGGGATGCCAAAGTTGGGGGGGGGTCTTACCTGGCAGGAGCAGCTCCGACACCCCGGCTCCATCCAGCGAGCCCCAGGCTCTCGGGGAGCCCCCCGGTACCAGCAGTGAGGGACCGATGGGGTGGAGGTACTGGGGGCTCCCACCGCTCCTGGGGACAGCTCGGTGGCCGGGGACACCGAGGTAGGAGAGGAGGAGGATGAAGAGGAAGGGAATTGGGTCCCGGGAGCCGCTGCGGGGAGGTGGGGCGAGGGGGATCCCCTGGGGACCAGGAGGGTTCCCCCAGATCCGGGGGGCAGCAGGAGGAGGGTGGGGGGATGCTGCAGGGACTGCAGGATGGGCGACGGGGCCAGGATGGATTTGGGGTAGCCTGGGAAGGAAGGAACAAGGAGTCACTGGGTGGCAGGGGGGGGACACACACACCAGGGGGGGTCCCCTCCACTCCCAGAGAAGGGGCTGGCTACCTTCACAGGAGACTCTGTCGCCGCTGAGCCGGTAGCCGGGGCGGCAGGAGCAGAGGTAGCTCCCCGGGGTGTTGTGGCACGTGTGCTGGCAAGCTCGGCGCTCTCCTGGCCGCCGGCACTCGTTGACATCTTGGGGGGCAGCAGCCCCCAGCTGGGGCGGGCAGGGGGTGGGAGCAGGGCACGGAGCAGCTGAGGGACTCACACAGCACTCGCCCCCCCTGCAAAGTCACAGGGTGGCTCGGCTGATGTGACAAGGACAGGGGGACAGGGAGGGGGGGATGCCAAAGTTGGGGGGGGGTCTTACCTGGCAGGAGCAGCTCCGACACCCCGGCTCCATCCAGCGAGCCCCAGGCTCTCGGGGAGCCCCCCGGTACCAGCAGTGAGGGACCGATGGGGTGGAGGTACTGGGGGCTCCCACCGCTCCTGGGGACAGCTCGGTGGCCGGGGACACCGAGGTAGGAGAGGAGGAGGATGAAGAGGAAGGGAATTGGGTCCCGGGAGCCGCTGCGGGGAGGTGGGGCGAGGGGGATCCCCTGGGGACCAGGAGGGTTCCCCCAGATCCGGGGGGCAGCAGGAGGAGGGTGGGGGGATGCTGCAGGGACTGCAGGATGGGCGACGGGGCCAGGATGGATTTGGGGTAGCCTGGGAAGGAAGGAACAAGGAGTCACTGGGTGGCAGGGGGGGGACACACACACCAGGGGGGGTCCCCTCCACTCCCAGAGAAGGGGCTGGCTACCTTCACAGGAGACTCTGTCGCCGCTGAGCCGGTAGCCGGGGCGGCAGGAGCAGAGGTAGCTCCCCGGGGTGTTGTGGCACGTGTGCTGGCAAGCTCGGCGCTCTCCTGGCCGCCGGCACTCGTTGACATCTTGGGGGGGGGACAGGGGGGCTCATCAGCACCCAGGAAACAGCTTAGAGAGGGGGGACGGGACACAGACAGACCCCAGTGCCATCCCCTCCACCGTGGTCCAGGCAAGGATGAAGGCAAGGTGGTGGCACGGTGCCAGCGGTGGTCACCTATGTCTCCTGGGCTTGATGGGATGGGGATGGGGACATGGGGGGGACACGGGGGGGACACTCACCCACGCAGGAGTGGCGGTTGCCGTGGAGGTGGTACCCGGGCCGGCAGGAGCAGCGGTAGCTGCCGATGCTGTTCTGGCAGCGGTGCTGGCACGGCGTGGCCAGGCATTCGTCCGTATCTGGAAAGGGGTAGAGGGGTCAGGAGCTCAAACTGGCCACTAATTGTGTGTGTCCCCCCAAAATCTCAGCACTGGGGAGGCCACACCTCGAGTGTTGTGTCCAGTTTTGGGCACCTCAATCCAAGAGAGATCTGGAGGTGCTGGAGCGAGTGCAGAGGAGGCAACGGAGCTGGTGAGGGGGCTGGAAAACAAATCGTATGAGGAGCAGCTGAAGGAGCTGGGGCTGTTTAGTGTGAGGAAGAGGAGGCTGAGGGGAGACCTCATCACTCTCTACAACTCCTTGAAAGGACACTGTAGAGAGGTTGGTGCTGGTCTCTTCTCACAGGGAATTAGTGACAGAACGAGAGGGAACGGCTTCAAGCTCCAACAGGGGAGGTTTAGATTGAACATTAGGAAGGAATTTTTCACCGAGAGAGTGGTCGGGCATTGGAACAGGCTGCCCAGGGAGGGGGTGGAGTCCCCATCCCTGGCTGTGTTTAAGGGCCGTTTAGATGCAGTGCTGAGGGACATGGTGTAGGGGAGGACTTTGTAGAGTAGGGGAGATGGTTGGACTCGATGATCCCAAGGGTCTCTTCCAACCTAGGTGATTCTATGTTTCTATGATTCTAAAATCTGTCCCCTTTAGCCCCCCCCAACACACACCCTGGCAGCTGTGGCGGTCGGAGGAGAGCTGCAGGCCCGGCCCGCACTCGCAGACGAAGCCGCCCTCGGTGTTGACGCAGAGACCCTCGCAGGCAGCGCTCAGGCACTCGTCGATGTCTGGGAGATGAGAAGAGATGGGAATGGCAGGGATGGGGGGCCACCTTCACCTGGTTGTCCCCCCCCAACATCCCACTGGGACCCTCCCCGCCCCGGCTCACCCGTGCAGCGGATGCCGTTGGCCGTCTCCACCATGGAGAAGCCCAGGGGGCAAACGCGGGCCACCTCTTGGCAACCGCCGTGGTTACAGGAGAGGTCGCAGCCGTACTCCCCGCACGTCCCCGCCGGCTCTGCAAGGCAGGCGAGGGGACCACAGGGCACCGGTGCCACCCCAGAGACCACCCAACGTGGCACCCCCTGCCCTGGGAGCAACCCGGACCCCTACTGGGGATGGGGACCATAGGGCACTGATGCCACCCCAACACCCACCCCACCATGGCACCCCTTGCACCCCCTGCCCTGGGAGCACCCCAGACCCCTGCCAGGGATGAGGACCACAGGGCACAGATGCCACCCCAGAGCCCACCCCACCATAGCACCCCTTGCACACCCTGCCCTGGGAGCACCCTGGACACCTACTGGGGATGGGCACCACAGGGCATTGATGCCACCCCAGAGACCACCCCACCATAGCACCCATTGCACCCCCTGCCCTGGGAGCACCCCGGACACCTACTGGGGACGTGCACCACAGGGCACCGA